GCAGCACTCATTGCTCTTTTACAAAATAGCTCTAGTCTTGCTCAAAGCAAACAAGATTTTCAAAACCAACCTAATTTGAAAATTCTATGTATACTTTGGGGTACTTCTTGGTCATATGGTATTGGTTCTTCATTTATCAATGATAAAAACAGTGAAAAAATTAATTGCTAACATGAAATAGCTCTAATTTCTCATAATTATACTCACTTTAAAAGTCCATGTGGGTGGGTGTTATTATGTATTGGTAAAATTACTTCTGAGTATGTGGCAGTTCTGTGCCTGATGTGTCAGGAAACATGACTAGATCCAAAAGGATGAAAGAAACATTATCTTTATAAAACTATATTTTAAACTTTAGGGGAATTAGCTGCAGTGCCATACTTACTTTCACGGGAAAAAAATCTAATTCTTTAGCACATGGAGGAATAAAGCCTTTCATGATCTCATGTTTGTCTACTCTAGTCTCAGTCCTGACTGCCTCTCAGCTGTCATACTCACCATACCCTGGCTCCACTTTCCCAGATTTAAATAATTTTTTTTTTTGTGAACCAACCTGTTTTTATTTTTATTTTTACTTTTTTATCTTTAAATTCTTTATTAGTTAAGTAATTACAAATGTGTTCTCATCCCCCCTCCCATTAACCCCTATCTTCCCCCCCACCTCATGCTCTCATCCCCCTGTTGTCTATGTCCATTGGTTTGGCTCATATGCACACATACAAGTCCTCTGGTTGATCTCTTCCCCTTACCCCCACCCTACCCTACTTTCCCCCTGGAGATCAATAGTCTGATTGCTGTTTTTCTGTCTTTGGGTCGGTCCCTATTCATAAGTCTATGTTGTTCTCTATATTCCACAAATGAGTGAGATCATGTGGTATTTATCTTTCTCTGACTGGCTTATTTCACTTAGCATAATGCTCTCCAGTTCCATCCAAGCTGTTGCAAAAGGCAAGAGTTCCTTCTTTTTTACTGCAGCATAGTATTCCATTGTGTAGATGTACCACAGTTTTTTAATCCACTCATCTGCTGATGGGCAACTAGCCTGTTTCCAAATCTTAGCTATGGTGAATTGTGATGCTATGAACATAGGGGTCCATATATCCTTTCTGATTGGTGTTTCTGGCTTCTTGGGATATATTCCTAGAAGTAGGATCACTGGGTCAAATGGGAGTTCCATTTTTAGTTTTTTGATGAAGCACCATACTGTTCTCCACAGTGGCTGCACCAGTCTGCATTCCCACCAGCAGTGCAGAAGGGTTCCTTTTTCTCCACATCCTCTCCAACACTTGTTGTTTGTTGATTTGTTGATGATAGCCATTCTGACAGGCGTGAGATGATAACACATCGTTTTGATTTGCATCTCTCATATAATTAGTGGTTTTGAGCATGTTTTCATATGTCTTTTGGCCCTCTGTATGTCCTCTTTTGAAAAGTGTCTATCTAGGTCCATTGCCCATTTTTTGATTGGATTGTTTATCTTCCTATTATTAAGTTTCATGAGTTCCTTGTAAATGTTGGAGATTAAACCCTTATTGGTGATATCATTGGCAAATATGTTCTCCCATGCAGTGGGTCTTCTTGTTGTTTTGTTGATGGTTTCCTTTGCTGTGCAAAAGCTTTTTATTGTGAGGTAGTCCCATTTGTTTATTTTCTCTTTAGTTTCCATTGCCCTAGGAGCATTATCAGAGAAGAAATTCCTTCGAGATATGTTTGCTATTTCACTGCCTATGGATTCCTCGAGTATTTTTATGGTTTCCCATCTTATGTTTAAGTCTTTTATCCATTTTGAGTTTATTTTTGTGTATGGTGTGAGTTGATCGTCTAGTTTCATCTTTTTGCATGTATCTGTCCAATTTTCCCAACACCATTTATTGAAGAGACTATCTTGACTCTATTGTATGCTCTTGCCTCCTTTGTCGAATATTAATTGGGCATAGTGCTTTGGGTATATTTCTGGGTTCTCTATTCTATTCCATTGATCTATATGTCTGTTCTTGGTGCCAGTACCAAGCTGTTTTAAGAACAGTGGCTTTGTAATACAGTTTGATATCTGGTATTGAGATCCCACCTACTTTGTTCTTCTTTCTCAGGATTGCTGCAGCTATTTGAGGTCTTTTTTTATTCCAGATGAATTTTTGGAGCGATCGTTCTAGGTCTGTGAAATATGCCGTTGGTAATTTAATGGGGATTGCATTGAATCTATAGATTGCTTTGGGTAGTATGAACATTTTGATCATGTTGATTCTACCAATCCATGAACACGGTATGTTCTTCCATCTGTTTATGTCTTCCTCTATCTCTTTTTTCAGTGTGCTGTAGTTCTTCACATATAAGTCTTTTACCTCCTTAGTTAAGTTTATTCCTAGGTATCTTAATTTTTTTGGTGCAATGGTAAATGGGATTGCTTTTTTAGTCTCCCTTTCTGTAAGTTCACTATTGGTGTAAAGAAATGCCTTAGATTTCTTGCCATTAATTTTGTATCCTGCTACATTGCCAAATTCATTAATTAACTCTAGTAATTTTTTGATGGAGTCTTTAGGGTTTTCTATGTACAATATCATGTCATCTGTAAATAAGGACAGTTTTACTTCTTCTTTTCCAATTTGGATGCCTTTTATTTCTTCTTCTTGTCTGACCACAATGGCTAGTACCTCCAGTACTATGTTGAACAGGAGTGGTGAGAGGAGGCATCCCTGTGTTGTTCCTGTTTTAAGGAGGAATGGTTTTAGTTTTTGCCCATTGATTATGATGTTGGCTGTGGGTTTGTCATATATGGCTTTTATTATGTTGAGGTATGATCCTTCTATTCCTACCTTGCTGAGAGTTTTTATCAAGAAAGGGTGTTGAATTTTGTCGAAAGCTTTTTCTGCATCAATTTATATGACTATGTGGTTTTTCTGTCTCAATTTGTTTATGTGATGAATCACATTTATTGATTTGCGGATATTGTACCATCCTTGCATCCCTGGGATGAATCCTACTTGGTCACAGTGTATGATCTTTCTGATGTATTGCTGGATCCGATTTGCTAGAATTTGGTGAGTATTTTGGCGTCTATGTTCATGAGGGGTATTGGCCTATAATTCTCTTTCATTGTGTTTTCTCTATCTGGTTTTGGTATCAGGGTGATGCTGGCTTCATGAAATGAGCTGGGAAGTGTTCCTTCCTCTTGAATTTTTTGGAATAGTCTGAGGAGGATAGGTTTTAGTTTTTTCTTGTATGTCTGGTAAAACTCCCCCATGAAGCCCTCTGGCTCTCGGCTTTTGTTTGCTGGGAGCTTTTTGATGACTGCTTCAATTTCTTCCATCGTTACTGGCCTGTTGAGATTTTTAGAATCCTCTGGATTGAGTTTTGGAAGATTGTATTTTTCTAAGAATATGTCCATTTCCTCCAGCTTGTGTAGTTTATTAGAGTAGAATTGTTCATAGTATTTTTTAACAATTCTTTGAATTTCTGAGGGGTCTGTTGTTATTTCGCCCCTTTCATTTCTGATTTTGTTTATTTGAGTCCTCTCTCTTTTCTTCTTGGTGAGCCTGGCTAGAGGCTCATCAATCTTGTTTATCCTTTCAAAGAACCAGCTCTTGGTTTCATTGATTTTATGTATTGTTTTTTTTGGTCTCTATGTCATTTATTTCTGCTATGATCTTTATTATCTCCTTTCTTCTGCTCACTCTGGGTTTTTTTTTGTTGTTCTCTTTCTCATTCTTTGAGTTGTAGAGTTAAATGATTTGCTACCATTTTTTCTTGTTTTTTTTTTGAGATAGGCCTGTTGTGCTATAAACTTCCCTCTCAGGACTGCTTTCATTGTGTCCCATACATTTTGGGTTGTTGTACTGTTATTGTCATTAGTTTCCAGGGTGTTTTTAATTTCTTCTTTGATCTCATTGGTAACCCAATCATTATTTAGTAACATGCTATTCAGCTTCTAAGTGTTTGAGTTTTTTGGATTGTTTTTATTGTGGTTTATTTCTAACATTATGCCCTTGTGATCTGAGAAGATGCTTGGCATGATTTCAATCTTCCTGTATTTGTGGAGACTTTGCTTTTGACCCAATATGTGGTCTATTTTTGAAAATGTCCCATGTGCACTTGAGAAGAACGTATATCCCATGGCTTTGGGGTGAAATGTTCTGAAGATGTGAGTTAAGTCCACCTGATCTAGTGAGTCATATAGGATTGCTGTTTCTTTGCTGATTTTTTTCTAGAGGGTTTATCCAGTGATGTCAGTGGTGTTTTTAAGTCCCCTACTATGATTGTGTTGTTGTTGATCTCTCCCTTGTTATTTTCCAGGAGGTTTTTTATGTATTTGGGTGCTCCTGCATTGGGTACATATATGTTTATTAGGGTTATATCCTCTTGTTGTATCGATCCCTTTAATATTATGAAGTGGCCTTCCTTATCTCTTGTTATGGCCTTCACTTTGAGGTCTATTTTGTCAGATATAAGTATTGCTACCCCAGCTTTTTTTTCATTTCCATTTGCCTGAAAGATATTTTTCCATCCCTTCACTTTCAGTCTATGTGAGTCCTTTTTTCTGAGGTGGGTCTCTTGTATACAGCATATATATGGGTCATTTTTTTTTCTTTATTTTTTTTTTCTTTTGTTTGGTTGCAGATTTGACCCTAGTTAGGGCACATACAAGAGGCAACCATCAATGTTTCTCACATTGATGTTTCTCTCTCTCCTTTCTTTATAGAAATCAATAAAACATATTCTCAGGTGAGATTTAAAAAAAAAAATCCAAAATTATGAAAATTCCTGGGTCAAAGGGTGCTCCAAATGAAACCATACTTTGTAAAGACATACTACTTAGATATATTTTTAAAAGGAAAGAAAGGTTCTGAATAACTGTAGTCCCATCCAAAAAGGAAATCTTAAATTAAGGGGAAAAGATCCTAAGAGTATAAATGAGGCTGGCTCAGGAAGAAAGTTGAACAAAATATCCCAGATAAAAGTAATGATGATACATCTTTAATAATAAAGAAATAGGCTATTAAAAAAGTTCATTCTCCATATTGGTTTTAGTAAAAGCTCATTTGTTCTCCTTTGTGGGTGCATGATAAAGTTCCATGGGTTTGTTCACTTTCCAGTATTTCTCACTGACCAATTCCAAATAAAAAGAGCCATTTAATACAGTGAACTGCCCACTGGCTGTTGCTATATAAATGGTATACTGCTTCTCACTGGTTGTATCAAGGTTCATTTGGTTTGATTCTCCTTTGCTTCGAAGTTCTTCTAAAGCTAACCTCATAGCCAGATACTTGGATAAGTGATCAACAGTGGCATTACCAGAAGTCTTTATGTATCTTGTCTGTGCACTGTCATCTTTTTCCATCAATGTGGGATGAGGCCTGAACACTAATTCAATTTCACTAGCACCATCCATTACTGGATCAGTTGCCACTGTTGCATTATTGTTATCAAGCTCAAGCCCAGAATCATCTGATGTTTTGGTCCGTTTGTTACTAGGCCCTGTTTCCTGATTGCTGTGTGTGGCTGCATTACTACAGTGAGAACTGTCACCATTGTCTTCTGCTCCACTGCCATTTTCAGTCTGTTGTTTCTTGCCTCGCTGTAGTCTGTTCATGGCCTGTATCTTCAGTCCTTCCTCAATGCTGTGACTGAGTGCTTGCTGATTATTGTGCTTATAAATTCTGGCTAATACTCTCTCTTGATGAGCTTTGTACTCATCATGACTTGGATAAATTTTGCTGATGAGTGCATCAAAGTTCGGGTCTGGCCTTAGTGATCTTTTGGAAACTAGCTTTTTCCGACATGTAGGACATTCTTTATTGCCACTTCTGAGGGCTGTGATAATGCAGTCTGCACAAAACTGGTGCAAACACTCCTTTGTAGTCATGGTGTTCTTCAACATATCCAAACAAATTGGACACATTAATTCGCTGTGTAGACTTCGAGGGGAAACCACAATTTCCAAGCCATCCGTTATTGCCTCCTGAGGTGTTCGTTGTAATTCATATAAACTGAGTTCCCAGTTTTGCTTAATGGTTGAGTTCCATTTGTCTGCACAGCCTGAGACCTTGTGGTGCCTGCTCCAGCCCGGACTCCGCTAACCACGGCCAGAGCAAGACTCGGGCGCCGCCACACAGTATGGCGAGCCTGGGTCATGTCTTTTTATCCATTCAGCCACTCGATGTCTTTTGATTGGAGTGTTTAGTCCGTTTACATTTAAAGTTATTATTGAAAGGTATGTGCTTGGATTTATTTCTATTTTCGTGCCTGTGTTCTTTCTTACCTTTATATTTCTTCATTTTACAGCATTCCTTTTAGCATTTCTTGCATTGCTGGCTTGGTAGTGATAGCCCTTAGCCTTTTTGTCTGCGAAGCTCCTAATTTCCCCTTCAATTCTGATTGATAGTCTTGCTGGATGTAGTATTCTTGGATTCAGTCCTTTGCTTTGCAACACTTTGTATACCTCCTTCCATTCCCTTCTAGCTTGATGTGTTTCTGTTGAGAAATCATTTGATAATCTGATGGGGGATCCTTTGTAGGTAACTCTCTATCTCTCTCTTGCAGCCTTTAAGATTCTCTCTCTGTCATGAAGATTTGTCATTGTAATTATGACGTGACTTAGTGTGGGTCTTTTGGAATTCATCTTGCTTGGGACTCTCTGTACTTGTGTAACTTTTTTCTTCCCCATAGCTGGGAAATTTTCTGTCATTATTTCTTCAAATAGATTTTCTAATCCTTGCTGCTTTTCTTGTCCTTTGGCAGCCCTATTATGCATATGTTACTTCATTTCATGTTGTCCCAAAACTCCCTTAGGCTCTCCTCCTGCTTTTTAATTTTTTTCTCCAGTTGCTGTTCAGATTGAGCTTGTTTCTCTACCTTATCTTCTAAATCACTAATTCGGTCCTCTGCTTCTTCTAGTCTACTGTTGAAACCTTCCATGGTGTTTTTGATTGTAGCGATATCCCTTTTCATTTCTTCCTGATGCTTGCATAGGTTGTTGATTTTCTCATCCATCCGGTGAATGAATTGTACAACCATTACTCTGAATTCTTTTTCTGTGATGTTGCATGCTTCAATTTCACTAATTTCCTTTCTTGGTGACTCCTCATTGTCTTTCCTCTGGGTTTTGTGTCATCTCTTCATTCTGATTATCTCCCGATGGTTCAAACGTTGAGTTGCGTGGGCCTGGGCCGTGTGCAGTGGGAGCCTCACACCACACTAGTGTCACTGAAGAACTCTGACACTAAGATGTGTTGTTGTTGTGGGTTGGTGGGAACCAGGCCCGCTCAGAGTCAGTGTTGCCAGCGCTCAATGTGGCCTTGTGCCTGCCCTTAGAATCAGGGACCCTGCCTGCACTGTGCTGAAACAGAGACCCCCCCTGGAGCATGTTGAAAATCAGCACCCCCTAGCGTGCGCCAGGAGTCAGAGTTCCCCAAGAATCCAGTATCAGGTTCTCTGTTGCTTCATGCGACCTCGCATTGAGAATCAGGGTCCCTGTGTGCCCTTGCACCAGGAATTGGAGTCACTGGCTCTTAGTATGAATGCACAGGGAGTCAGGGATCTCAGGTGCAGGTGATAAGAAACACAGTCAAGTCCCTGGTGCTTGGTGCTGCCTCCTGCCCAGAGAGTCGGGTTCCCTGGGCCCACGCTATGCGGGACAAATTCCTGGTGTTCATGTGATTGCTCCCAGCCCAGGGCTCCTAAAGTGGGCACTACGCGGGACCAGTTACAAGGTGCTCGTGCACTACCAAGCTAAAGTTCCTATGGCAGCACTGAGGCTCGGGTAAGGAGTAGGTCTATCAGTTACTATGGCGCTGCCTGCAAGCCTACAGGGAGGGGGATGGGCTCTGTTACTCACGGATCTGCTGTGTCCGCAGGTCTGTAGCTGTGGTCACAGGTCTCTGTCCCCAGTGGCTGCAGGGTCCTGGTATGTGTCTGAGACCAGACTGGGTTTTGCTGAGGCCAGGATCCTAGTCTCAAGCAGCTCTGTTTCCCAAGATGGCGTGGTCGCTGTGCCCGTGCTGGCTGCCCAGGAGTGTCCGCACAGGGAGCAGGGCTCCGTCGCCTAAGACTGCCCGGTTTAGCAGCCCCTTAGAAGACCTGCAGAATCTAACTGTCCCTAGCTCATACACACACACACCACACACGTCCACACACTCCTCTATCACTTCCTTGATTTCTCACACTCTCTCCCTCCCTACCTTCCTGCCAGTCGCCATTTTTTCCCTTTTTTTCCAGACTTAATTAATTTTAAAACTTTTCTATTTAGCCAGAACAATTCTCTGTCCCATTCTTCCAATCTCTAAAGAGACTATCCCAATGATGTTCTCGGGTTCATTTCCAGTGTTATCTAAGAAGCCATCTTGAATGCTTTAAGTGTCCTTCTCAGTTTTCCCATGGTGCACTGTGTAGATTAACATTTTAATAATTACCATTTTTTTAGTACAGTTGGTGCACCATTATCCTTGGAGGATACATTCCAAGACCCCCAATGGATGCCTGAACCCATTGGTAGTAATAAACCTTATATCTACTATGTTTTTGTATGTGCATACATACGATAATTTTCAATTTATAAATTGAGTACAATAAAAGCTTTAATAAGTAATAATAAAATAGAATAACTATAACAACATACTATAATAAAAGTTATGTGAATGTGGTCTTTCTCTGTCTGTCTCTCTCTCCCTCTCTTTCTCTTTTTTTCTGATAACTGGATTAATTACTAAGTGACTAATGGGTGGGAAAGTATATAGTATGGATACACTGGACAAAGGGATGATTCCCATCCAGGGTGGGACAAAGCAAGATGGTAAATCTATTTATGCTACTCAGAATGTTGCACAATTTAACATTTATGAATTATTCATTATTGGAAATTTTTATTTAATATTTATGGACCACCATTGAATGAAAGTAATTAAAACCACAGAAAACCAAACTGTGGATAAGGGAATCTGCTGCACTGGCTTTCTTGTTTGCCTCCCTAACTGGGCTGCAAGAACCTTAAGTTCAAGAACAGTATCTCATTTATATTTCTGCCCTCTCAATAAACTGATTAAATAATTTAATTAATGAATTAAAATGAATGAATACATCTATATTAATTATTTAATTAATTAATCTAAATAATCCAGCTAGAATCTAATTTTAAATAAAATAGATGAATAATGTCTGCCTAATTTTAATGGACTTAAATATGTATATTGTTATATTTTGGATCTTTTTCAGTTGAAACTAGGATGGGTGCAGATATTTGTACATCCATGATCATGGAACAGTGTTATGCACAATAGCCAAGAGGTAGAAATAGCCAAAATCTCCAATGAATGGATAAACTAAATGTGGTATATACATACAAATGAATATTATTCTGTTTTTAAAATAAATAAAATTCTGATATGTTACAACATAAATAAACTTTGGGGCATTATTTAAGTAAAATAAATCAGACACAAAAAACAAATACTACATGATTACATTTATATCTGGAGTGGTACAATTCATAGAGACAGAATAATGGTTAGGGGGCTGAGGAGAGGGAGCACTAAGGAGTTGCTGTTTAAAGGATCCCAGAGTTTCCTTTTGAGATGATAAGAATGTTCTTAAGATGGATAGTGAATGTACTTAATACCACTGAATATTACACTTTAAAATAGTTAAAATAATAAATTTTTATTGTATTTATTTACCACAATAAAAAAGAATGGATTTTTAACATTTTACACACACATTTAAAGTCTGTAGATGATATAGATACATGTGCATGAGAACATTTTTGGCCAGGTAATGTTAGAGTGGAGGCTAGAGAATGTCATGCTCTTGGAGGTCTTTCATTTATTCTAGGAAAATTTGCTTCTATTGGTCACAGGACATTTGGGAGACTGAGATAAAAAGCTGAGACACGCCTTAATTTACATGGAACTCATGAAAACACACACACACACACACACACACACACACACACACACACACACAACCTTGTTTCTAGCCTATAATTGGGATAAAGATTTTTTAATTTTTTTTTTTTAGGAATAAGACACAGAAAAGACAATAGAGCTTCTGGCAAAAAAGCATAATGTGTCAAGAAGGTTAGGCCGGACTGAAAATAGGCATTAATATTGGCAGATGCAGTGAAATATTGTACTTGGCCATCTCCCTTTCCAAGAATCTTTGTGGACTGTGGTATAAATGAAAAAATAAAGTGTCACAAGGGAGTCAACATCTCTCTAAGAGTTAACCTAAATGTACTTGTCATGAAAAGTGAAAAGAACTCTCCTATGGAAAGGAGAAGGACATGAGTGTCAGAAGTCAATGATCTGATGAAATATAGAAGGTCCACGCTGGTATCAGTGGCCAGAGGCATTTGGGATGGAAAGAAGCCCAGCTAGCAATATAAAGGCAGCAAGGTGCAGCAGAGCAAGGGTAATCAAGAATATCAAGAAGAATGAATTCCATGATGCAGGAATTGGAAAGCTGCTAGCTATAGCTCAGATTACATGTAAGAACCAAGCAAAGCGTGATCATCTTCTAATTAAGTGTGGGAGCTCAGAGCATTGAAGTATGGGGTATTGCTGTAAATGTGAGCTATTTGAACCTACCAGTGAATTTTATATGGCATGAATATGTTCAAATTATTAAGGTTAGAGACTTAGTTTCCATAAACTGAGATTTCATATATAAATACTAATGGCATATTCTTTTGTTATCTTATTACTGCTTAAAATAATCATTTCTATCCCAGTCATCTCCAGCCTCAAAGCCCAAGAACCTCACAAAAAGCCTTAGGGTTTAAGATTAAGCAATAATTATAGAAATTATATGTGTCTTATTTTCAACTATAAAAATGGAAACATCTATTTGAATTACTATCCCTATCAATTTTAGAACTAATTTTACTTAGAGTTAAATGAATATTCAGTATAAGCCCAGCCAACAGTGGGAATTATGAAAAAAAATTCTTACACAAGATGGTCTTTAGGTACAGCAACTTCCCTCAGAATGTTTTCCATTCTATATCACAGTTGAAAATGTTTAAAGAGAAAAACAACATTCCTGCAATAAACAACCTTTTAAATATTATCTTCTGGGATATTT